TAGTTGGGTTAAATCTTTTTTACATAGATATGTTCTCGATTTATATAAAATTCCAATGCTTTTAGAAATTTTTGTGCTAATATAGTCAATATGCGCTTTCCATGTGATGTTTTCATCAAGAAAAACACCCAAAAACCTTGTGACATAGTGTCTTTTTATCACAGTATTATCAATAAAGATTTCTGGTAAATTTTGGGGTAAATAAGGTTTTTTTGCGATTGGATGGAAGAGAATCCATTTTGTTTTGTTACTGTTAAGAGTTAGCTTATTGCATATAAACCATTTTGATATGTTTTTAAGTTCATCGTTCATACTAGAAAAGAGTTTGTAAATATCATTATCGGAAAGAAATAAGTTGGTGTCATCAGCAAACATTATACTCATTAAATTTGAGGCTTTATTTAGATCGTTTATATAAATCAAGAACAACAGTGGTCCTAAAATGGAACCTTGGGGAACGCCACATGAAACATTTAGGAACTCATTTGGATAACAACTATTACTAAAAACAAATTGTTTACGGTTAGATAAATAACTTCGGAACCATTTTATAACTTTGTAATTTATTCCATAGTATTTCAGTTTTTGTATCAAAATTTCATGATCTACAGTATCGAACGCCTTCGATAGGTCGATAAAAACACCTAATGTAAATTTAGATTTTTCAAAAGAATTTGAAATTTCACGTACAAGTTGGATAATTGCATGTTCCGTCGAATTATTTTTTTTAAAACCAAACTGGTTGGCGTATAACAAATTATTAGAAAGGAGATAATTGTATAATCTATTATACATAATGCGTTCTAGTATTTTTGAGAATGTGCAGAGGACGGAGATAGGACGATAATTACTGATATTTGTTTGATCTCCCTCTTTTAAAATTGGGGTAATTTTAGCAATTTTTAATTGATCCGGAAAAACTCCTTGGTGAATAGATGCTCCATAAACCTTAAAAAGTATATCTTTTAATTGTTCAAAACATTCTATAACTATATTACCGTTTATGTCATCTGCTCCGTTTGCTTTGTTTTTTTTAAGGGATTTGAATGCTTTTTCGAATTCATAAAAAGTTAGCTCAGAATATAATTCGTTGGAACTAATGCAATTATCCATCTGTACTAGAAAATCGTTAAATGTTGCTTTGGTATAAGGAATTTTATTTGCTAGTTTAGGACCAATGTCAGTGAAGAATTTATTAAACTCATGAGCTATAGCTTTTGGTTCGCATATGCGTTTGTTATCCACTATAACCATCTGGGGAAGAGAACCTGAGCATTTTTTTTTGTCTGCCAGTAATTTCGTTCATTATTTGCCAATTGCGTTTTGTGTTATTTTTGAATTTATCTAGAAGTCTTGTGTAATAATTTTTTTTCAAATTTTTACGAACTTTTTCAAAGAGATATTTGTAATTTTTATATATTTTCTCATTATCTAATGATTTTGTTTTAAGATATTTTATATACAGCTTTTGTTTAATCTTGGATGATTTTTTAAATCCTTTTGTTATCCAGGGGTTATTTTTATATTTTGGAGTTATTGTCTTTTCAATAATAGGAAAGTTTGCATCATAAACGGAGTAAAAGGTTTCATAAAAGTTATCATAAATTTTGTCTGCATTGTCATTGAAGTTAATATGCTTCCAGTGCAGTTACGATAGTTGGTTTTTAAACAACTTTATATTTGTATGGTTAAAAATGCGGATTTTAATTTTGTTTATTTTATTTTTAATTTCAGAATTAATTATCAAGAATATTGGAAAATGGTCAGTTATATCAGATTTTAGGATACCTGTTTGAATATTATTGTTGAATATATCTGTTGTAATAATATTATCAATCAAAGACGTCGAGTTTTTTGTTACTCTAGTTGGCCTGTTTATTAAAGGAATTGCTCCCGCCTCAAAAAAGGAGTCGTAAAAGTTTTTAATTTTGTTATCTTCATTATAAAGAAAACAATTCATATTTAGGTCTCCAATAATGAAGTTCTTTTTGTTTTCTTTAATACCTTTTTTGAAAATACTTTGTTCAAAAAAAATGCTCAAGTTCTCGCTCACGCCGTCAGGTGGGCGATAACAACAGCTTAATAATATGTTTTTAGATTGATTGTTCATAATTTCAATAGTCAAAATTTCTTTATCGCTATCAGAAGCACTTAAATCATTCCTAACGTAATAAACAATATTTTCATTCACATATATAAGGACTCCTCCGCCGCGTTTATTTACTTGTCTTTTAAACGAAATTAATTTAAAATGAGGAATATAAAAGTTCGAAGTATTATTTATGTTATTTGAAATCCAGGTTTCAGTTAAACAAACTATGTTAAAACGATTTTTTGTTTCCTCTAACAAGTTTAAAAGTTTTTCAAAATTGTTATTAAGACTTCGAATGTTTACGTGTAGTATCATAGTTTTATTTAAACATTTGTCATAAACATTTTTAAAAAGAAACCCTTCTAAATCGCTTGGAAAGTGATATAAGCAATCCTTAAGCGCCTCGTAGGAATAGTTTATATCGGGGTCTATATTCACATCATTTATTTCATTAAAGTTAAAACG